TCTTATCACACAAATACTACAAAGGGTAGGACACTGTATCACTTGGGGAGAGAGGAAGTTTGAAATGCTAGTGCAAGTTTGCGGTAAGGACACAGAGGGCAATAACCACAGCTCCATGCATCAAACTAATATAACAAAAGTCCTAATGTAAACCAGTTGCCGAGGGTTCAGTTTCTATGACGACACCATGGTGACACTATGGTTTGCCTGCTGGGGGCCTGCCAAACCACTGCCAACGTAAACACATTATGTTCACTATACTACTTGGTGTGTGAACAATTTGGAAATTATTTCCATTACTAACATTTCCTTTCACCCCAGTAAAGATCATTTACTTCTTGTATTTGCACAATCTGAAGAACTACTGAAATCTAAGTGCCCTGTAGTAAGCAGTGAGTTTAAATTTAGAAGTCTTTAAAAACGTTTGGCTTATCATGTTTTAGTTAAGGTGATGCAAACGTAGTAAAGGATTAGAATCCAAATTAAAAATTAATTTTCTTTCACAGAACACTGATATTTTATACCATTTTAACCTGCTTTCCAACAAGGCAGTCTATTGTACCCTGTGTCTCTAGCTTAGAAAAGAAATTAGAGCTAATAATCTAGATCCAGAATAGCTATCTCTTTGTAACCCGAGCCATTAAAGGAAACTGTTCTCATACAACAAGCCACCTGACATGAATTGTTCTACATCATGCTATTATATTAAATTTATAAGTAGTGCATCCAGAATAACTGAGACTTGCTGGACATAGAAATAAATTTCATTTCAATAGATTGCACCCTGCATCTCAAAACCAGTGAGCTGAGACTCTTATCATCAGGAGAGATACATGCATAGATGGGTAATTCAATAGACTACTACCCTAATATTAAAAAAAAAGGAAACATCAAGAGTTTGCTCTATTCTTGGGATAATGAGAAATACAGTATAATTTAGCACAATACTTCAAGATAATTTTATTGTCACTCTCACTGTGGAACTCAAAATATTCACCAACTAATAACTCAACATTGGCAACATAGTCAGAAACCCCAAATTTCAATAGTGATATTGAAAAAAAAAACAGATACATGGTCTTCTTATGGATTTAATATTGTTGCAGAAGACTTTTTTCTAGCCTACTAACGAACTTTTACAAAAGAGGAGAAACCTCTTTGCTGTTGTAATTTTTCTTCACTTCAACAAAATTGTTAAGTTTGGTTACAGTATTTCTGGGAATTACAGGCTATAAATCAGGGTAGCGCTTCAGTCACCTGTTGTTCTCATTTTATTTCTTACAAATAATAGAGTCACTTCTTCTACTTGCAGTGTATGGCTTTTAGTCAGGGTAGCTCCATAGCCAGATTTATTTTTGCCCTGTAGTTCTGCTTTGCTACGATATTAAAAAAGAAGAAAAAAAAAAAAAAAAAAAAAAAAAAAAAAAAAAAAAACTCAACAGCCTTCTGCAGTTCTTGCATTCTGATCATAAATTGGGGAAGTAAGCCAGCAGTGGTTCTTGCATCATCTGACTGTCACTATCAGCGCATTCAGAACTGCAGACTAGCAGATCCGAGGATCAAATATGGCCGACCCACTTGAACGCTTCTTGTGTAATCCCCCCGGGGAAGCTATTCAGTGTCTAATCTGGAATTAAAAGGCAAGCTTTTTAGTGGGTCGCTATAATTGATCTGTTAGTCAGCCGATCTGAATGTGCTCTATAAGATGATCCGCAGCCAGTTGTGGGCAGTTCTTTCAGTTTTTGGCTAAAAGCTCATAGTAAATCTGAAGATCTTGCATGTTTTGGGTGCTTAGACAGATCTGTAGCCCAATGAAGTTCTTGCAGTTTTGGCTACAAACTTGGGGTAGATCTGTAGATCTAGGAACAAAGACAGATCTGTAGCCAGTTGTAAATTGTGCATGTTTTGCCTCTTAGACAGATCTGTAGCCAGCTGTTGTTCTTGCGGTTTTTGGCTACACACACAAGGAAGATCTGTAGATCTTGTGTGTTTTTGGTGCTAGGACAGACCTGTAACCACCTGCAGTTTTTCAGCTTTTGGCTAAAAACTCTGGGATAGATCTGTCAATCTTGCATGTTTTTCAGCCAGTTTTGCAGTTTTATGCTACAAACTTGGGGAAGTTATGTAGCATTTGCATGTTTTTCACAACAACTGTTGCGAGTTGTAGTTTTTTTTTTCAGTTTTGGGCTTTAACTTACAGCAAATCTCTAGTAGGTCTTGCATGTTTTTGATTCTATCTCAAGGCAGATCTGTAGCCAGCAGCAGCTCCTGCAGTGCTTGGCTGTCACTCCGCAGTACAAACAGGGTGATCCCAGGTTTGTAGATGGCTGGAATGGTGACGTGGGACGTCAGCTGTGGGCGAGACGGTGGGACATGAGGAGTGAACTCTTCTCGTATCACATTGATCACTTGCCCTAAGGAGAAAACAGAATAGGAATTAAAAACAACAGTTAATAAAATAAAATAACATAAATAAATAAATAAACAAATCATAAATGCCAAATGGAAATTTTTTTCAAATATCTTATTGTACATCAAATTTATATTAATCCAAACATCTCGGGAGGCAGACTGCTGTCACTGTGTGAATAATAATTAAATGAGTTTCATCACAATGACTAATGTAATCTTATTCTGATGACAAGTGCGGACGTCTGCCTACCGCCACCACCCCTCTACCATCACATTCTCTTAATACAGTGAATCCAAGGCCAATGTTTATTTCTTTACACACACTACAGGGAGCATAACTTCTTTACAATGTCTCAGCAATTTATAATAGCCAGAATGCCCATTAGACTGATAAAGTACAACTGTCATGGTTATCATAATACAATACAACCATTTATCATGCCTGATAAATTATAACTCATCAGATATCTAGTCATAAGACATCTAGTTAGACATGCAGAAATTTCTAAAATTGACACTCCAAGAGCATTCTTAAGACATAGAATTAAAATGTGGTTGTAAAATATTACAAAATGCCTCCCCCCCCCCCCCCCCCATTCTGCCAGCATGGATTGTTCTGTGTTTGGTTTAATATCACACACACATGTGCATGCGCGCACACGCATGCACACACACACACTTTGTTATTGCCTCACTGAATTACAATTGAATCATAGGTGGAAATTACCTAGACAAAGTGTCAATACAATTTCTATTTTTTAATTGTCCTTCAAAAAATCTACTAGCACTTAACTATAATACCTAAACCAGAGAAAAAGAAAGAAAAAGTTCCCATTTTCTATAATACCAAAGTTAACATTTATCTTACAGTGCCATGGTAACAAGTATAATATAGTCCTTGGAGACTTGTGTATTTTCAATCAGTTAAGAGACCACATGCAAAGCAACTACCAAAAATTAACTGGCGTCACCAGCTGGGAAGTGAAAATTAATCAGCCAATAACAAACTAAACAGTTATTTTCCACATATATCATTTCAAAATAACTGGTGGAAAATGGGAAGGGAGTAGAGATAAAATTTTTAGAGGAAAAACTTGGGTCATTTTTTTTCACCCCAACATGAGAAAAGGCAAAATAAATTATAACAATAATATTAATAAATAAATAAATAAAATAAAAATAAATAAATAATAAAATAAAATTCTCATGAACACCAGACCTATTCTGGCTAAAAAGGGCAGTTCTCTCACACACCCCTCCCCCCCCCCCCCCCACAAACACCCCACCCCCACCCCCTTGCCAAGGGGCCTGCAATCAGGCTAATCAACAATACCATATGAATATTTTCACTTCACATCAGATCAGATCTGGTAACAGCTTCTTGTGTTGTTGTCCAGGGTCTGACAATCTCCAGGAGACTGGCCTTACAGTGTACAGACACTGATTAGTTCATATCCCAGCAGGCAGCCATTAGAGTTCATGTCTCTGGTCCCCAGTGGCTAGCTCTCTCCCTTCATTCACTGGAACTTACTCTACTCATAACTTGGCAGGTTAGATTTTAATTGGACGTTTTGGTAGTGCACAGGGTGTAGAAATAACACAAGCAAGAGGCGAGCATCTAATCCCCCCCCCCTTTTTTTTCTTTAAGATGAAATGCTAAAGATAATTAGCTTAGATAAAAAGATGTAAAATTCACATTTCGCGTATACTGTGTGTGTGTGTGTGCATATGTGTGTGTGTGTGTGTGTGTAATTTTTACTCATCTTTTTAACTTGGCTAAAATATTTCAGTTTTTTAGGATAAAAAAAAAAATCCATGCTTGAATGTGCCGAGACATGGCTGTCACAGCAAAATATTTCATATGAGGTATATTGACATTTTGCTGACGCAAACCAACTTTAAGAATCAAAAACTCCCTAACTAATATTAAAAAAAAAACACTTCTAAGAGAAGATTTAAAACATTTTTCAAATTCACTTCATAATTCAAACGTCAGATTTAATTAGGCCTGCTCATGTTAAAATTCATCCTATAACCTTGAATTTGTAACAGAAATTAAACTGTGAAATCCTATTCACAATTTGCTAATCCAACCAGACAACTGTGCAAGACTTTTAGCTCTTGCTAATGCCAACCCAGCACTTTTTTTTATGTGCTCAATAAATACTTCAACTGCTGGCTGCTAGTTTTGGCAAGGAGTAAAGTCCTTACGAAATACATTTCGAATCTACATTTTACATGTTCAAAGTTTCCATATGTGAAAAATTAAGAAAAATGTATACACATTTGTTGTGTCTTTATCTTTCTTTTTATTTGATGACATAAGGTCAATATTACAAAAATTACTGACTTAAAAACAATATTCTTCACAGGAACATATTCAGATGGTTTGCCCCTCTTGAAAGTGCATTATTGACTCAAAAAATAGTGCCAGGCACTGTATTTGCTGACATAAAATCAAATATTTCAGAATTTACAATAAGCTGAAGTCCATACTGCATATACTTTCTGTCCTGTTAAAAAAAGACAAATCTTTCACCAATTCAGCCAAAATGCGTCAGTCTGAAAGACCCAATCCTCAAAGCATATCACAGATAACAGAAGTGGTCATTTCCATATGAAGAATTTCATTGAAACATCACTGACTGTCTAAATGCATTAGTCTGAGAACATCCTCTAACCCACCTATCCTTTTAAAATTCTTACATAAAACCATACATCACATACTTCTAGAGTACACAGATGCCAGTTTGTGACAACTTTAAGAGGACATTTTTAAAAACATAGGTCACTGCCTACCATCTCAGTTCTAATCAAATTATTACTCTCTATCAATGGGCTGGTATCAACTATGATTACTTTTATTAATAAATCTGACCCTGTTCATAATTTTAAGTGAAAGTTGTGTCATATGTTATTTTCTAGTGGCTCATGAGACTAAGTTTTTATATGGTAAAAAGGCTGAAAAAATGGAATGGCAATGCCATCTGAAAAATTCAAGAAACAAAGATTCCTGAGGAAAAAAAAAAAAAAAAAAAAAAAACAGGGTCAGAAAAATATTTTAAGTGAAGAAAGCAGTCAACAGTACTTTCTGTATTTCTTCTGGTCATGTCAAGAAAAACAAATTGAAATTTCAAACAAAACAAAAGACACAACAGCAAAAATCTTTTACTCAATTTAAGTTCTAACCACTATAAAATGTATGCACAAACCTGTTATTGGGGAGAGATGCCAGATTGTACATCTACTTTTACTTTGAAAGTTAGTTCACCCACCCATGTAGTGACAGATTGGGATCTGTAGGATTATTTTGGAGTAATAAAATCATCAGTAAATTATTGGAAATCCTCCTTTTTTTAAATACTGACAGCTGCCTTCTTTTCAGTGATAGTCTAAGTAAATAAAAGTTTGATGAAAAATATTTTAAAAACTTGCTTTGTTTCAACATTCTGATCTGATGTTCATCAGTAATTAAACTGCAATTAAATACTACAGCCATCTGCTTACATTTAAAACACATGCTGACCCTTGATCAATTCAGGGTAACACAAACATCTGAGTACAGTTTCAATCAGACCAAGGCTGCATTCACAACAGCAGACTAAGGGTGCTTTCCCAGAAATTTAGATCGATCTAAAGATTAAGATTTAGATCGACCTATCTCCCTGGGGGTTCACGCTAAATTGCAGTCAGCCGAGCGGGCACCATAGTTAATTACCCCCTTACAGCTTTTAGTAGGCGGGACAGACGCTTAAGCCGGCCAAGCTGACAGTAATCTAGTGAGACTCCCTACAGGGATAGATCGATCTAAAAATCTATGGAAATGGGGTGTAACAGATCCCTGGATCAAGTAAGGCGACACTGATAAAAACTTGCCACGTAATCCATAATAGACACTGAATAGATTCCCCGGAGGATTTACGCAACAAGCATTCAATTGGGTCAGCCATATTTGATCCATGGATATGTTAGATCGCATTCACAAAGAGTTGAGCCAGGCTTTACAAATCCTGCGGACTAAATATGGCAGACATACATGAAAGAAAAACCGCCTAATCTTTTAATAGTCTCTCCGCCTCTCACACGCCTCCCCATGCGTCGTCCCTGCGGGGGTACAGTCATTAAATTTCGGCTCCATTGGGACGACACATAGGGAGGCGTGTGAGAGGCCGAGAGACTATTAAAAGATTAGGCGGTATTTCTTTCATGTACATCCGCCATTTTTAGTTCTCAGGATTTGTAAAGCCTGGCTCAATTCGTTGTGAATGCGGTCTTAGTCCACTGATGTGAATGCAGCCTTAGACATTACCCGCTCCTTTTATGTGTTAACATATTTCTAGTGGGTGGTATTGAGTTGTTTGTAACAAGCTTTCAAGGGGTTTGCAGTAAAACTTGAACATAAATGTTTAAAACTTACAAGATAAATGGTTAGACAATAAAAGTACAGTTAAAGTGTAAAAACAGCAACCAAGTTGGTGCAAACACATCAAACTGTGGGTTAGAAATCCTCACTCACTACTTTTTTTTTCAGTCTAACTGCGGCTGCATTTAAAATATTTTGTTGTTTTACTTTTTTTTCATTTTTCATTCCTCGAAATATTTATTTATTACATCAGAAACAGTGGTTAAATTGGGTAATTGAAGAACATCTGCATTCCCATTGCCATAGTGCGAAACTCAAAACTGTACTGGAACCTAGAGAGATAAGTGTTCTTTAGAAAATCTTGAAATTCCAGAGACCTTGATATCCCATCTTAGTAATCATTTGTCTGAAAGTTGTGACTGAACTGGAGATGGAGAGTGTCACTGCAAAATCCAAGAATTGTACCAGACGTTTTTATCACACCCAGACTCTCTTAAACTGCAGTAAATGTCAACACATATTATTGTCATTTCCAAATCTGAAGATTTTACATTTAAATCAAGGCAACACTTCTTATCTTTTTCCTTTTTTCTTCTTCTTGTGTGCATTTCGTAAATTAAAAAACTTTTTCACTGTTGTAGACAAATGTTTTTCTTCCGTAATAAAAATTTTGCATTTTGTGTCCATTCTTTTTCATTTTTTAATAATTTTTCCCAATCAAAAGAGAGAGAGAGAGAGAGAATAAAACATTCTCTTATACAACAAAAATGAGCATAAGATTAGTTTTCAAAGTTAAATATAATGATAGTTGTCTCAAAAGTCCAAAGAAGAAAAAAAGAATGAATTTCAACAACTAAGAGAAGTACCCCACTAGTAGGCAATTGCAACACCCTTCACTACTTTGTACTCTGCTATATAGCGTCTCTTTCCACCAATTTGATTTATTTCAGGCATTTGCTTATTCATAGTCTAAGCACTCGAGCAAAAAACTACCACACTTCAAAGGCCGTGCCAATATAGTTACAACACTTTCGAATACTTTGCACACAACTTTTTCTACTGCATCAATACCTAAAAGGTAATGCGTTGTAGTGGCACCTAAGCAACTCTGGGGAATATTCTGTACTTCACTGAAGTAAACAGGAATAAAATGGGCTAAAAAGGTTTAAAGAGCAACTTGAATAACATGTTGCATCTTCTGGCAACTTATGAAATGAACTGAAACACTGTGACATAAAAACTCGTTTTTTGAAGTAATTTTCAGCAAAGTTGCCAACTCTGGTCATGTAGATTTGATGCTTTTCTGGCCACCAACATTAATCGCTTTTAATTTCCTCATTTCATCATCTTACACAGAATTTCTCATTATGATGGCAGCAAGCTTGTTTTGGCCTTAAAAAAGATCATGTTCTCTGTTCCCTTAGTGCCTTTCCCCAAAAGGAGGTTTTTAAGTTGGCATTCAACAGGTTTCATGTTGGCAGCTAAATAAAAATAGAACTCTTAGCTGGTTTCTGCCAGATTCTGTTGCTGGTTTGGGCTGGGTGAAACTGGTCTGGGCTAATTCTTTCAGATCCCAATTAGCAAACTTTCAGCTGCTGCAATATTGCACATGGATATATCTTATGCTACATTTTCCAGACTGTAACTTACTAGAGTCGTGTAATATATATCTAATAAATGGGAAATTGTTGCAACACTTACTCAGAGCACACTGTCTGGGCCACAATCACTACCAATTAGTCACAATGTTGTATTTCTAACAGCTGGAATAGGCATGTAGATTGCAAATAAATAATTTGGTAGTATATTTCATTAATAGAGGTCCTGCATTAGCTGGTATTAGCTGGTTCCCATGCAACAACTACCTGTTCCACCTGTTTGTGAGCAAACACCAAAACCTTCCTGCACCAACTCAATTTCCCAATAAATGAGCTGGGGAAACACAAAATTGGCAAGATAATAGCATTCATCATTAACATCATCAGCCCGATCCTCTGCATATCGAAGATTGTCGACACACACAGCATTATTAAGAGTAAATTTGTAAATTTTGAATTACTTCATGATCATAATTCCAGTAACTTTGCAAATTAGCAAATTGAGTAGATTCCTGTTTGGCCTTGAAATTCACCTATCAAAACTATTTTTGTTGGTTGTTAACAACAAGTAGCACCATCTATAATATAAATATAGTTTATGGCCTAACCCTTCTCATACTGATGAAGGCAATTTTTTTAGATACTCGATATCATGTTGTTGTTACTTAATAGAATTCATTAACATTCATTCTATATACTAGTAGTTCACTCAATTCTCACCCATCTGAAAATTCATTTAGTGAAAATTGATGGTGGAATCATAATTCAACTTCAATTATCCAAGCAATGCATCTGTCTACTGAGAATTTGAAAGTTGGTTATCATGGACCCCATTCCCATACCTATATCAATCTAACAGGATCGATCCACCTCAGGGGGGTTTCTCGCTAAATTGCATTCAGCTTAAGCGGCTCTGATCTCTGGCAGGGCTTCTGAACCTGTTAGGGGTTAATTAACTTGCATTTAGCAGCTTCAGTAGGCGTGCCAGCCATCTAAGCCGCTTAAGCTGAATGCAATTTAGCGAGAATCCCCTCGGAGATGGACCGATCCTGCTAGATCGATCTAGGTATGGGAATGGGGTCATACATAACCCAAGGCACTGATGCCACTTATGTATCAACCTACTCGTGCAGACTTTTTGGCAAACCATTTGACATTTACATAACATGGTAGTCAAGGAGGTGTTACAGCATAAAAGGATAAGTAAATATGCTTTACAGACTCTCACCAAAACCAGCTGTACAAAGCACAATAACAATTTACTAATTTATATTTGTTATTACATAATGAACTAGAAGTTTTCTTGAAGAATTCCGACAGAGATCAAAACATTTACTAGCCATTAAAGTGAGGGATCCCGTATATGATAGAGGAATGGAGTTGAAATCAAGTGTATATTTCCCAAGGTCAAAACAATGAAGATTTTAGTCAAAACAGTTCTAAGTGCTGGTTATGTTGCTTTGCATATTGTTGTCAAATATTCTATGATAAAACATTTAGGGTTTTTTCAACATAATACTATATACTTAAGAATTAAATACTTGGACTCTGTCTCGTTCTGTTTTTAAATATTCTGTGTAGAAAACCTTCAAGTTATTTCAATATTTCATTTTGTTGTCAAATATTCTACAATAAAACATCCAGGGTTTTTCGATATTATGCTATTCTCATAAGAATTAAATACTTGGACTCTGCCTCATTCTGTTTTCAAATATTCTGTACAGAAAACTTTCAAGGTATTTCAATGTGCCACAAGTATTCAATATTTCATCCAACACATTCAAGGAATGCAAAGCTTTCTACCAAATGTTACAAAACAATCTCAACAAGCACAACAGACTTTCCCTAGTTTGGCTCAAAACACAATCACCAAGCTCATCCAACACCCCCAAGCCAAAGGTTTTCCCAGCAAACCATCCAGCCATCGTTTGGACGACTGCCAGCAACAAGAAGGCCTTATTTTCAAAGACAGCTGGACAGCTGACGTCCTCCATCTGGGGTCAGCTTGTATAAGAAGTGGTCTCAAATCAAAGTATAAAGACCACTGTTTAAATGACCCCCCCCCACACACACACACACACACACACACACACTGCTTCCAAACACAATCTCACCTAGTACATTCAGCGTCCTCCATCTTGGGTCAGCCTGGGTGAGGAGAGGTCTGAGATCACAGTCTACACTCCACCTCTTCACAATGTCCTCCCTGCGGATCAGCAGCAGGGACTCACAACATAACTGGGCCAGCATGGTCTCTTCAGGGACTAGCTCTAGAGGGTTGGTTAGATAGATACCTGGAATGTAGGAAATATTCTTAAATTATATTATTTCACATAAATGTAGTATCTTCAGGGACTAGCTCTAGAGGGTTGGTTAGATAGATACCTGGAATGTAGGAAATATTTATAAATTATATTATTTCACATAAATGTAGTATCTTCAGGGACTAGCTCTAGAGGGTTGGTTAGATAGATACCTGGAATGTAGGAAATATTTATAAATTATATTATTTCACATAAATGTAGTATCTTCAGGGACTAGCTTTAGAGGATTGGTTAGATAGATACCTGGAATGTAGGAAATATTTATAAATTATATTATTTCACATAAATGTAGTATCTTCAGGGACTAGCTTTAGAGGATTGGTTAGATAGTTACCTGGAATGTAGGAAATATTTATAAATTATATCATTTCACATAAATGTAGTATCTTCAGGGACTAGCTCTAGAGGGTTGGTTAGATAGATACCTGGAATGTAGGAAATATTCATAAATCATATTATTTCCCATGAATGTGCTATTCTCAGGGACAAGTTCTGGTTAGAATGACACCTGGAATATATACAATTTTTAAAATAATGTAAATAATATTATATCAAATAAAAGCATGGTCTCTATATATCAATTTGGAAGACTTATCTCTACACCTTGTCAACTATTTGCTAATGCCAGCCATTGGTGATAAGGATGGGTCCCACTCTTTTGGTCCCACTCTTTAGTGATGCCAGGCCCCAGTTTCACAAAAAAAAAAAAAAAAAAAAAGGGTCCCTGGTTAAGAACTTTGCCAAGGTTACATGGTCACACCTTACCCTATCAGCAGTGTAACAGCACTCTCATGGAAATTCTAGTCAACTAAGCCAGGGAACTACTGACTTAAGTTTTTTCGTGAAACTGGAGCGAGGAATCTGCGACAAGGACCTGTTCACCAGGGGTTGGGAAGAGACAATTCTATACATAGATGTTATAGATATCTAACTTATTTTAATTATACACCCACCTTTTGGTCCCACTCCGTAGACCATCTGGTGATGCCAGGCGTCTGGGATCAGGTTCTGGCCACCAGGGGGCGTGCCACACTGGAGGTTGAGGGTGGCGAGGGGAACAGCACCTGAGGCAGCAGTTTCAGCAGAATTAGATATATATTATGGGAGGCAGTATTGTTTCATTATTATAACTTTTACCATCATTTAATTATCATCATCACCACTGTTTTCATTATCAAAGAGGAAAACAAAAATGCAAACAAGACCACTTTGTTCTATCAAAAGAGCAAATTGTAATAATAATAATACCAGATTCACCCCTCTGGTTAAAAAATCAGCTTTTTGTCATTTTCTGTTGATTTGGTCCTGTTTTAATATATCAAGTTACATACAAACCATAGACAAATCCCCTTTGATCAACATCAAAGGCTTTTTACATGGAACTGCTGCCTTTTATCTCATAAAAACATTTCAGTCACTGCTCTGTTCAGTCAAAATGGGACTATATCTCAATACAAGAGTAAATTAATTCAACTGCACATTTGTTAGCTGATGACTGCTTCCACAAACTAAATACTTGTCAACTGAGACTAAGGACAGTTGTCAAAACATCTTACACTCCCTCATACACATGCACGCACACGCACATGCACATACACAAACACGCACTAACCTTTACAAATCCAGGCACTCAGCCAGTGAAGTAGCTTGATGTCTTGGTGGGGATGGAACTGGAAGAACCTGCCCTTGACATGACCCTCTGTCACCTGCTCTATACCTGCTATCAGGTCTTCTGCTGTGGTGCCTAGGATTTAGAAAACATTTATGTGCTGGGATCATTTAACCCATAAAGAAATACGTACAAAACAAATGAAGAATGATGGGAATTTATCAAATGTCGGGTAATCTTCAAAATCTACACTGACCAAGTCTACAAAAAATAGATGCTGGGATCATTTTAACACAAACAGAAATACTTTCAAGGCAAATGAGAAATGGTGGAAATATGTGAAATATTATTCACGAGTCCACACATTATAGTTGTATCACAGCACAACAATAATATTCATATGTTTCATCAGGAATGAGAAAAGAAAATGAAAGACAGATAACAGAAAATGATGACAAACAGATAAAACCCTACTTCTCCCTTAATCTCTACTTATACACCTTCCCTTCATTTTTGAATGCTTAACATAAAAAATCCTGCAGCTTATGATTATTTATGATAAGAAGTAAATTCTAAAACAGAGTAAATTTGCAATAATTTCATCATCCACTCTGTGCAAAAGTTCAAAGCTTTCAAATTAGCTATGTCATACGAGTTATCAACATTAATTTAAAAACAGAAAGGTCACATATCAATACCTGCCACACTCCTGGAGAGGAGATATTCAGCAACTGGAGCTGTCTCTGCCCTCAGCCGAGCCCTGATCCGGCTGCTCACCATCTCCTGGTCCATCTCCACCTTTAACGCTTGCTACAAGAAATACGAACATACGTGTCACATACAAGGCTACTTTTTTTTTTTTTACAAATAAACAAGTACAAAGAAATAGAAAATATGTCAGAATAGAGTCAGTGTGATCTTACTGGATCAAGCCCAATGTCTTCAGGGGGATTGAAAAAAAGGTAACTATTGCACAGTTGGACAGAGCTATTACTAATTAGGTGTTATCATTTTGTTAGAAAACAGTAACAAATTGAGCCTGTCCACTTCAGTTTTTTTTTTTTTTTTTGGTCACCCTCATGGGGTTATTATTAGTGATGGTAGTCTTGAATGCAAGATGGAGTATTTAGTAACACAATTACTAAGGTCCTCAACCTCCCCCCTCCCCCAATTCCAGTCCTCTCTGTGTGATCATGACAAGTCCATGATGGTGACAAAAAAAAAAAAAAAAAAAAAAAAAAACAGACAGCAGACAGATACAATAACTGGATCATCCTATTAGAATTTATTCTCTTCCCAATACATACCAAAAATCATTCATTCTCTGAAAAAATAGCATTGATTTGACTCAATGCATCATTGACTTAACTATCAAAATAATGAACTTAAGAGCTTTATCAATGAATCTTGTACTTAGTCTTATTGTATCTTACCAGGACATTAATAACAGCAGTTGGTCCGCAAGCCGAGGTTCCAATCTGTTTGACTTGTAAAGACAACGCTTCGTACTCTTTCCATATCATTGTTTTCTTCACTTTAGGGTCCTGTTGCTTCTCCTTGAAAATGACAATAGTTATAGTGAATGTCATTACATTTATTATACAAAATTTTATAGGAAATTGGTACACCAGGACACAAGGGTCTAGGAATTTACTGACCCTGTGCAAAAATAGTGACACGCACGTATGCAACATACACCATATCTAGAACTTTTGTTCCCCACAACCGCCATGGTGTAAATATAGACACTGTTTTGTTTGTTTATATTTCACCTATGTTCATCATGTACATACAATCATAGTTTATGGCATTTACAGTAACTGTGAACAGAGCAACAGAGCTGGGTGAAAAACTGAAGAGTTTTACCAATACAACTGATCAAATTGGGGACAGATCAAGAAAAAAAAAACAGTAGTGGTAATTGTGCATGCAACAAATAAATATGAGTGCAGTTGCCACAGGAGCAATAACTGAACATCATTCACTGGCTATATGTGCTGTTTTTATAGACCTTGTCTATACTGGTGTAATAAATGAAACAAAGGCTGCATAATATCCTCCAATTATTGTCATACATGTTTCAAATTGCCAAATGAGTTCATTTTCATCACCAGTTGAATTAGAGAAGCACAAAGTGAAGTCCAAACTATATGTTACATTAAGCCACAAAAGGCAGGCCTGTAGCCAGCAATTTCTAAGTAAGTGTTCAAGAGAAAGTTTTAATTCACAGAGGACTTTTTTATCAGCCAAACAGGCAGTTCTTTTTCTAACCCCCGAAACCCTTCACCTCTCTAAAGACCTGTAAGGTATCATACATACATACATAATAATATATATATATATAATCTTTATATATATATATAATCTTTGAATCTCCCTCCATCACTGACATAAGTATAACATCAGACCGTAGCCAGCGGGGGTTCGGGGGGGTTCCAAAGGACCGCCCCTTTTGCTGGGAAAAGGTCCACTCTGGGTAAAACTTGATCTAGGTACATGAAGTTTTTATGGGAAAAGGTCCACTTTATCATAAAAAGAACCCCCCTTTTGAAATTGCTGGCTACGGGCCTGAACATCTACATCAATATTACTACATACCTTCATGGCAAACAAAAGCTTACTGTACCTGTATCATGTGATTCTGCTGCTGCTTCTGTTGCTCCGACTGCTGACTGTGACCCAGATTGCCATCAATGCCCCCATCATCAATATTGTCACTGGAATAATACATAGAACTCTGTGTTGGAAATATGGACATCAAAATTTCATGTAAACACAGGCATGTGTACGTTTATACTTAGCTCGTCACGAAGACAAGATGGCACACAAAAAATGATGTTCAGCAGAAAATCATTTCGCTGCTTGTTTGTTGATGGTTTTAAATACAGAAAAGAAAAATGTAAAAAAAATCTAAAATTATAATAGCAATAATCAGGAAACAGCAGCCATTATTTCCACTGAAGAGTAAATATGCTATACCATTAACACAGTCTTTTAAATATTTCTCAAGCAACAGGTTTTTGTAAAAATTAGAAACTCATGATAGACCTCTAGCCATTAAATAGTCATTTGGGATTCAAAAGGTAAATCTCCACTGTTTATATTAGTTGGTGTAAGGGCATAAGAAAAGGCTGTCTACTAAAGAACTAGATCACTTAAGGTTGTCTTGTCAAGATTTTAAACACTTCTTGTATAAGAAAATTGAAAGTAAAATGAATATGGTTGACCACTTTATATTTACTTGCTTATATGCTGAGAAAAAAAATGAAAAAAAAAAAAACAAAAAAACAAAAAAACACTTTAATAATTCTCACATCTAAATACTGATGAACTATATCATCATTAGTGTTATCATTTATTAACCACATCATTTCACTTCATTATAGTTCAGCCATAATGTTGGCCAGAGAATGTTCATCATAATAAAGTACACTGCACATCATTGTGTATCATAGACATTAGGGTGCACCTATGGCTGTATTCCCAGAGCTTTTAGATCGATCTATCCCCGCGGGGAGTCTCACTAGATTACTGTCAGATAATCCGGCTTAAATGTCCGTCCCGCCTACTACAAGCTGTAAGGGGATAATTAACTTTCGTGTCCGCCCGGCTGATAGCTATTTAGCGTGAACCCCCAGGGAGTTAGGTCGATCTAAAGTAGATCAATCTAATCTCTGGAAATGGAGTGATAGACATTAGGGTGCACCTATGGCTTTGCATTATATTCCAAAGCTGTGGACACAACTGCTTCTCAAGTAATACTATTCCACACATAAAAAAAATTAATAGCTATGCTAGACTCCATTATGATGATGTATGTTCTCCTATGCAGGCGTTTCTAATATTTAGTTAGATCTTTTTACTGGTTTATATATGTCATAAATTATTTATTATAGAATAATTTCCTATTTTCAAAGCTGTTTAGAGGTAGTTTAAACTCATAATAAAACACTGACAAGACACATTGGAACAAGGAACAAGAATTCATTCCTATTTGACTGCTATTCAATGTTTTTTTTTTAATCTAACTTTTCATTAAAGAAANCATAAAAAAACATACCGCAAGTTATTTGTTCTATTTGGGTATTAATAACAGAATAATGTCCAAGAAATAAAATTGATCAATTCTGTTCAAATGCCATTTATTATCCCACTTTTACTCCATTGCCACAAACTAATATCTATAGCACCTTACCTTGCTCCCACATATAAATCTTCCTCTTCCTCCTCCTCCTCATCGGTATCAGGCAGAGTATGCAGCAGCTCCTGGCGCTCTAAGAAACCCAGCAACTGAATCTCATCGCCTCCAAGGTCACCCTGGTCAAAGTTCACATTGTGCAGCTGCCTTGCTGTCTGCTCAGCCCAGCCTGCTGGTGCTGCCAGCTCGTCCTCGTCGCTGTCTCCATCCCTCTCCTTGCGACACGTTTGCTCGCTTTCCTCCAGGTCCTGGGGGATCTCAAACTGAAAGCTGTTCTCGTCATTGTCAAAGTTTGACGTCGAGGTCTGCCTCGACACATTGGACTGCTCAAAGCTGTGGCTCGAGGAGAACTCCTCGAACCTGAAATCTAAATTGTTAAAACTGACGGCAGGATCGAGCTGCAGCACATCCTGGATGTCATGTTCTCTGGAAACAAAGTCTATGTTACCCCTCACCCTAGGGCAATGACCCCCACCAAGGTCATCCACCTCTCCATGACCTCCATCTGACCCTGACATTGTCCACTCACTTGACCCGGGGTCAAGGTCAAAGTCAAGAAAGTCTGTATCTGGACTGTAAAAGGGGGAGGACTGGTAGCTTTCTGAGTTCGAGGAAGCCTGTGCCTCGTGTGCATCGTTCAAATTGTTTTGGTGCTGCTCCTTGTAGAAATTGTTTTTCCTTTTGTTAGCTATACTGCTGGGAATCTTTGGCATGGGGCTATTGCACATGCAGGAGTGCACACAGCCAGCAGGGCAAGGGAAGGCACGAGGCCTGGCACTAGCACTGGTACCACTACTACTGCTACCACTATTTACAATATTGCAAGACAATTGCTGGGAGTCACTAGGGACAGTAGCACCAGCACCACCCACCATTAGCTCTCCGTGTTGATGTCTAGTCCGAGGTAAACCTTCATCTTCAGAACTACACGATGCTGCATCATCGTCTCCTAGACCAATATCACCGTTCCTGAAAGACAGCGGCAGATTGAGTGGCTGCTGAGGAAACCCCTCATCAGAAGAGGAATCGTCATTCAAGCCAGACTGGTCTACTGAAAGGGAGTATGCAGTCCTGTAACTAGCAGAATTCACCAATCCGTTACACACTTGACTAGAAATGTCAGTGTCAATAAAATCCAGCACATCGTTTTCCTGGTTCTGAGCTGTGCTACTGGTATTACTTGGTTCCCCTGCACTGCCACCAGAATCACCACCATTACTACAGTGAACACTTGTTCTGGTGCTACTGGCACTGGTGGCTTGTCTGTCAGGTGGGTCTAAACCATTAGCATTACACACATGGCACTGTGCATTGTCACGTGTCACCTGCACACCTTGAATACCACACCTGTCACAACCAGGTGCGTCCCTCGGTGACACGCTAGCACCTGTTGTACCTGTCACTTGTTCCCTCTTAGTGTAACTGCCATGGTCTGTAGGACCATTCAAGGTGGCATACAGAGTTCCAGATCCTCTACTCCGTAAATTGCTCTCTTTATCCGACCAGCTACTATGGAAGTCATGGTCTGAAGGATACCCAGTTTTATGACTAAGAGATGCAGTTTCCAGTGAGGTCAGTACAGATCTGTGGTTATTTTCATCTGAAGTGGGTATTTCCCCATGTCTTATGTGCGTTAACATATGAGGAGTTGTTAAATCAGTATTCATATTATCATTATCTGACCCGTCAGTCGAAGGCCTCACCACAGTCTGTGTCACACTTGTATTTTTTCTACCTTTAAAAATTTGGCCACCTTTTGAAGAATTTGACTTGCATTTTGTATCTTCTGAATTCACAGTATTAACAGGTATATTCGCAACATTTGAGTTTCGTTCCAATTCTTCCTCACCACCATCTATGGCACAGCTGTGTCTTTCAGAACCAAGGCTTTGCATCGAGGTTTCTCCACCATTAACAGTTGCAAAAGAGGATTTTGGCATTATAGGTTTGTCTGACTGGCCTTCACCTTGACCTGTATTAGAGTGACCTACATCCTGGTCAATATCCCCCTGCCCAGTCACTTGACCAAAAGAATGAGATATCACCTGGATGTTATTCCTTCTCACTGAGGTCTCTGTACCACTGGGTCCTTCCTGTACACGTAAATGTTCTAACAAGTGTAAGTTTGATCTAAAATAGTTCTCCATATCATCCCCAGGTGTCTCCACATTCACTCCAAGAGAATCCTCCTGACTTACTTCCCCATTTAGCGCGTATGTTCCATGTACAGCACTGGGGTCAACATCACTGCTGAAGTAATCCCAGTCCACAGCACCAAGGTCGCCAAAGGCACTTGAATGTCTGGGCTCCGACTGAGCCACTGGTCCAAACTGGGAGCAATGAGTCAATGTGGCGGGTGTCCCAGCCTTCCTCCTGCCTGGCTCCAGTGTCTGCTGGTCTCTGCTTAGGCTGCTGGTTCTAGACTGTGACATGGCCAGTCCTCCTTCCATTACATGGAGACATTAGTTTAGGGACCTGGAAATAGGTTATAAAGAATATCAATTTTCATTTGTAATTAATAAACATCTTTAGGCCAACCTCACATCTGTTATTTGGTCCACTATGTTTGCATATCAGTAGGATTAGCTGCACCCAGTAAGAAGCCATCAAAATATATCTGAAACTCAAATTTTGTTACTTAGCTGACAGGTTTTCTCAATTTAGTGTGATGCACGATGTCTAGTTTTTACTATCAACCTTCACAATTTATACAGCGGAATTCCCCTTCTTTAATTTCTGCCCAAAATACCCCCAAAACACCAATACCATGTTTTTTCACATTATCATATTGTGTTTGCTGAGGTTCAAAAAGGTTTTCCTGGTCAATTTTTGTTCAAAATTCTGCCTTCCTGATGTGAGCCCTCATTTCTCTTCTCCAACCCCTTACCCTCGTATAATCATCTTTGCAATAATAAAATTGGCCTAGTTCTTGAAACGCTGAATCAAACGCCATATAAATGGTAGCCTTAACAAAATTTTCAATTAAATGACAAAATTATACATCGCCACAATTATTTGTTTATCCACTTTGTTTAACATCTTACTAGAAACACCCCAGTTTACCTGAAATTAGCTGTTTTCATGCAGTGATATGGAAAGTCTTTCCCTTGAACTTCCATATTGGATTTTACCCATAATGCAGTCGAGAGATTATCTAGCCAATTAAACAAAGCGTTAAATTTTGGCTACGGGAAAAAACGCATGCTCTGATTGGCGATGGGTATATGATAACTGGCTGGACGGACGGAGAAGTGTTTTCGATAAATTTCTGAAATAACTACAATCACGATGAGCGAAGAACAAGAACCAGAAATATGTATAAACCTTGTTGTTATGGGAATCGTGAAGGTGAGAGTTTTAGCAATCAACATTATTCAACATCTAATGTCACATTTTACTTAGTAGTTGAGTCTGTTTTTTATGTAGTGTAGTGGTAAAATATAGGCCACATGTTTTATGAAGTAAAACATAGTATTTTCCTCCACTGTAACGTTTTTTTATTCATTTTAAAGCGATTTTACCTCTTCTATTACTGTCAACACAGTGTAAGAGTATCGGTGTTACCTCCTTACTTTCTCTTTGTCACGTGATAAGAAAGAATAAAAGGGAAATTATGGTGCAAAATGACCCGTTTATTTATTTTATTATTTTTTTGTGTGTGTGGTTTGTAACTTGAAATAATGTGTTCTGATACCAGGCCCGTAGCCAGCAATTTCAAAAGGGGGGTTCTTTTTCTGAAAAAGTGGACCTTTTCCCATAAAAACTTCATGTACCTAGATCAAATTTTACCCAGAGTGGACCTTTTCTCAGCAAAACCCCCCGAACCCCCCTGGCTACGGGCCTGGATACTAATCTTATAATCATGCTATTGGTCACCAGTGGACTCCGTTGAATTGGACAGTGATGCTAGAATCATTGACTTTGTGTTGCTGGACAATGTTTCACATAACAACTTGAGTCAAAAGTTAACCACTCTCAATTTGATAAATTTAAAGGATATTTTGCCTTTTTGATTTTGATAATACTTTGGTAGTCTATTCATAAGTCTCAGAAATCAGTTGTGATAATTAAACACATTCTTTTAAGCAGGCAACTATTTGACTAAAATAGCATGTCAGGTGGACTCTCCCCTCCTCCCCCCTCCTCCCTCTCCCATGAAAAAAGTTTTTGAAAAATTCTCTGATAAGATTCATTTTTAAGGATTTTAAGTAAATTTGGTATAGTTTTGGTTTTATACATCTAGCCACAGTACATGACATAGTTTCTTTCTCATGCTAGGTTTAAGCACATAAAAAATACAATTTGCTATATTTTCCTTTCAGTTTTGATGATGATGTAGCAGCTACTACTTAGAGGGACTCCTTTTCTGGCACTGACTGGACATCTCTAACAGAATGCAATACTATATAACATGGCAATAAAAGTCATCAGCTTCTTCAACATCCGGACACTGGTTTGTCTGCTGGTGGTAAGCAGCTGCCTGGGTCCTGTGTATCCTGGCAGTAGTAGCAGTAATACGACCACTTCAGAATACATACAGTTACCCAGACGAGGCGGAGTGATGAGGAATGACTGCTACAATAAGACAGACCTTCCTACTGAACGGGTTGTGGTGGACTTTTCCAGCAGAGTGGTTGAGAATGGTAAGGGATTTGGTTGTCAGGGTGGTTGAGAATGGTAAGGGTTTCAGTTGTCACTGGTTGATTGGGTAAGGGTTGTCTTTGTCAAGGAAGTTGAGAATGATAGGGATTTTAGCTGTTAAATTCATTATTTAAGGTCCAACATGTTTTTAACTGTTACTAAATTATTATTCTTTGTTGAAAGGGATTGTACATGTCCATGGGTCCACCACACATATCCTATTTTCACTATTTAAAGTTTAGATGATTGGCTTTAGTCTTTAACTTTATACTGAAATATTTCATGAGTAAATTATCTTTATGTTTTATGTAGTACAATTTGGAGTTGGATTTTGTGATTTAGTATAGTAGTGCCAATGCGCCCCCCCCCCCCCCCCATCTTCAAACACACATACACACACATACATACCACGCGTGCACACATTCACACACATACCAAGCAATCCTTTTTCTATCTCTGATATAATCTCGGTATTAGTTTTGCTCTTAGGATAAAATGAGCTGAACAAGTTGTGAGTGTCTTTAAAAATAATTTATTTAATAATTTTCTTTCCAGAATATATCATCACCTTCACAGGTTACTTCAGTGCCCGCGCCAGGCACAGTTTCATCACGTCAGCCCTCCATGGATCTGGGGTGAAGAACTGGGGTCTAGTGCCACGGCTCAACCCTGCCAAGAATTACCCCAGTGATTTTGAAGTGGTCAAGGTATGTTGCCAGAGTGCTGTGTGTAAGGTATAAAAGAGTAGTTTTGTTGTTGTTTTATAATAATAATTATAATTTGAGCATAGAAATGTTTTTACATGTAAAGGATCTTTAACTACTGTGTGTGTGTGTGTGTGCATGTGCGCGTGCGTGTGTGTAAGATAATCATAATGATAGTAAATAAATGAAAAAAATGAATAAAGTGTTATACATTATACCGATAAAGAGATACAAGTAAAATGTATAAGATCCCTTATGTATTTGATACTAATCATTTGCATTTTATCATTACCTTACTTAAGTAAGACTGTGTAAATTGTTACTAGTATTATTATCATATTATAGTTATACATCTGTGCGCAATGCTGCATGTGGGCAGTACACCGGCACATGTACAGTGCACATAAGCTCATTCAGAAAGTATGCTGGCTTCTCATTCAATTTTTACGAGAAAAGAGCAATACTGCTGATGAATCCACCCATTCTATGCACATTATGTGGGCTTGATTAATGGTAGCCAAAACCTTTGACTAGGTGGTTAATTATTGACCGATTGACAGCGAGTTGATGACTTCATTTTAATCAAATGGAGATGCAAAAGATGCCATTCACATATATGCATTTATTTAGGTTATTTATTCTGACTGATGAGACATTCTATAATTTTTTGAAAGATGGAAGGAATGGCTATTTGGCCTTTTAAATTGTGAGAAAAATGAAAATGAACAAGGGTCGCATATGTATTTTAGTTACAAGAGAAGTCAGACGAGGGTCTGGAGGCACTGGAAAGTCATCCCAATGTGAAAAGAGTGGCCACACATAAGAAATTAACTAGAACATTGAAATATTTAAAAGGTACTTCTTAGAGATTAAGGGGAAAATAATTGTATCCAGCTTTTTTTTTTTTTTACTTATTTATTTATTTGTTTATATTTTTGACAGCAATTTAGTCTTAAATTTTTAATGTGAATAGAAAACCATTTTTAAAGTGACATAGTGGTGCTGGTTGCAGAAATGTACAGGCTGAAAAATATAAACCTTTTTTTTTCTTTCATTCATTGTGAATTTAGTGGTAATGCTATTATCTATGCTTTAGAGATACACCCTGCTCTCAACCAAATACAATAGCACTATTATTCTCACTGCGTTGTCATTGTTGTATAATAACAGTTAATGTTTTCCAGTGAAACCCAAGGCTAGTAGTAGCACAGTGCTGAACTCTCCATGTGTGAAGACAAAATCTACCAGCCCAGATAGCTGGGAGCAATCTTTTCACTCTTCAAGACCCATCAATAGGAAGAGCTTGTCTCTGGTTGGTATTTCTTGAAGGGCAGTGATCCCTTACATATTTCAAAAATTTTCACAGATTCCAAATTTTTTAAAAATCCTTTCAAGATTCATATTTTTTCTTCTTACAAAATCATCTCCTCAATTGAACATAAATCATTTTTGAAAATTCTGGAAATTATGTATTGCAGCTTTGAAAAATGGATTATTTTGATAAATTTTATCTGATTTCTTTCATTCTTTTAAGTGATAATAGTTATCTTGAGCTGTGTGCAAGCTTGCATAATCTGAACAAGAAAGGTTTTGATGAGGAATTTGCTTAGGAAAGAAATAACACGTTAACCATGTTTTTGTTTCTAGGCAGGTGCATTCTGGCATTCCCCTGTCAGACACAGAAGTCGTAATCTTCTTCGTGCAATACCCAGACAGGTGGGTTTTTTTTTCGTATTTATTTGTTTTTCTAAGTTATTACATAGTTTATTGCATTATATATTATTATATGTGAGTTATGGTATTTCTTGGAGACCATCTCTATTTATGCTTTATACAGAATGAGAGATAATTTTAAATCCTCACTTTTTTATGCACAGACACAAATATGTTTGTACACATATCACTGTCACCTGCATATATCATCACTGTCGCCGTGCACTTTCACCGATAACACGATAAGTGGAAATCCGTTTTACCTTTTGGCTTGTTATTGTTAGTAATTTCATTTCTCCTCCTCAGATCTCCAGTGCACTGCAGGCAGAAATACTGTGGAGTATGGGATATACAGGTATATAGAACTCCCATTTAATTTTACAAATAAAAATGATTTTCACTTAACTGTTACTTTATCAATACAAGTAATTATATAGAATATAATGTTCATGAATTATTTATTTTTTACTGATCATAATTTGATTTTTAAGAAACTAAAAGAAATATGTTGCTGATTTATTTGGATAGAATTAATCAACCTAGATAGTTATCTAAGACAAATGTTCATGTTGTTTTTTTTTAGGTGCTAATGTGAAAGTGGCCATATTTGACACTGGGTTGGCAGAGGACCACCCGCACTTCAAGAGGGGACGTATTAAAGACCGCACAAACTGGACACATGAGAAAACACTGGAAGATGGTAGGGGGCAGCTCAAATGAGTTTGATGGTTTTATCCTGCAATGTTTCCCTGTTATATTGTGTTCAACACTGAATCTTTTCACTATAAATTTGGATTAAAATTTTTGTTGTGTTATTAGTAACATTTTGAAGCTACATTTATCATTTTCTTCTTTGTAACATGGTCAAAAGTTGTAAGTCTAGGTTCATTAATGATGATTTTGTGATTTGCTTTGCAAGATGTTTATGATCATAACAGATGCTAACTTTATATTGTATAAACCACATAACACTCAGATTTGTAGTTACTCATTGTTAGTCCAAGTTTTTTTCCTTTTTAGCAACTGTTAGAGAAGCATTATGGGTCACACAACTTTTCATGTGCTGGGATTGTATAGAGATGATTCTCACATTTCAGGCCTTGGTCATGGTACTTTTGTGGCAGGTGTGATCTCCAGCAACAAGGACTGTCTTGGCTTTGCGCCTGATGCTGACATCTATGTTTTCAGAGTGTTTACCAACAACCAGGTCAGTGACAAGATGCACTTGGCTGTGTTATCAGTGTTTGCACTGCTATTAACAGGATTTAATTGCAAGATTTTATTTTTTAATAATTTATTTTATTTTTATTTATTTATGTATTTAATTTTTGCAATATTATGGTTATTGTGTCTTTTTGAGGTTATTATTTGAATCTTTTCAGTATAACCATTTGTAGTGTTTCCATTAGACTTAACTTATATATCTTGGCATGATACTTCTTCAGTTCTTGAACAATGAGTAATACGTTTCTTTAATTGATTGATTTACCAGAAATATAAAGTTATTCATTGGATTTTGAAGTACAGTGGGAACATATGGTAGTCATATGACATCTATTCTTAAAGTTGATTGGAATCTTTTTCTACCCTGGTGCATTTACGTATTATTCATGGTATGAAAAATGCAGCGGTATGTCAGGGCATTTTTGATTTGTTCATTGGATAAACATGATTATTTGAGTCATTCATTAAATCATGGGGGAGGGCATTCATTAAATCATTGTTTTGATTCGATTCACAAAAAGGGTTTTTAAAATTTTTTTTTTTAATCACAAACTTGATTTTTTTCCAGGTTTCTTATACCTCCTGGTTCTTAGACGCTTTCAACTACGCAATACTGAAGAAAATTAACGTGTTGAATTTGAGCATTGGAGGTCCTGACTTCATGGACCACCCTTTTGTGGATAAGGTATCGGTTTTAAGCTCCAGATTTATGCAAAAAAATTATATAGTAATCACAAAAATATCATTGAGTTTTGTTTTTCATCATTCTAAATAAAGAACAAAAATAACTTTACTTTTAATCTTATAATGATTCACTATGTTCAGTACCTGGATTTGTGTATAAATGTGAGATGCTTGTAGAATCATCGAAAAATTAAAACAATCTGTATTGTCAAGTGTAACTGATTAGTGTAATACCTGTTTTTATTGTAGGTATGGGAGCTGACAGCAAACAAAGTCATCATGGTGTCAGCAATAGGAAATGATGGTCCACTCTATGGGTATGTTAATGTTGTCTTTCTTTAAAGACACCAGCATTTTCTTCATCAATAATCAACATAAGCACTAAAATTATAGGTTTTAACATCTCTGAATTCCTTCATCAAATTTATAATTTATAAGTACAATGATCTATTAAATTATAAATTCATTAGTACGTAAATCTAATTTATAATTTATTAGTAAAATGATAGATACTTTTCTCTTCAGATTCATAATTCATTTGCATATAGTAGATACTTTTCTCTTCTAACAATTTATGTTTTGTTTATGCATTTTAAGTTAATTCTGTCTTAAACCCTCTCATAATTTCAACATTCATGATAAAAGTTGCATCAGCTTTTTATCAGCAGACATATCTTTTTATCATATGATATTTCTTCTGGTCAAAACAAAACCCTGTCTATTTCAGCACCCTGAACAACCCTGCTGACCAGATGGATGTCATTGGTGTTGGCGGGATCAACTTTGACAATCAGATAGCTCGCTTCTCCTCCAGGGGAATGACCACTTGGGTATGTGACAGCAGTGCCAGGATTCATTGCCTAATTGAATTCATCTTTGACTTTTTGGCTTTTTCCCTTTCTCTGGGGATGCCACGGCAGAAAGTGTGCATCAGCTACAGTCATGGGTTTCGTGGTTAATATGGGCTTAATTGTTTAAAAAATCTGCCAGTAGCATTAGTAAATGGCTAATCAATTTTAAGGCCTGTGCACTGGTTTGTGTTTTACTGAAAACACAAATGGATTACGTTATACTGGGTTATAATACATGATATTATTTTGAGCACCAGATTATGTGCTTCTTCAGAAATAATAAGAGGGGTACATAGGAATATTATACTGTTTAACTTCTTTGGAGGATTCGGCAAAATGGTTTCTAAGAACAAGACAAAGTTCATTATTGGCAGTCCCCTTTTCACCTTGGAGCACATGAATAAATTTTTCATCGGGTTAAAAAAAGATGTTATTTCAGAGGGAGGAAGGTGGTTACCCAGTGAAATACTGTGGAATGATCATCTTAAATGTACTTGTCTGTAATTGTGTCATGTTTACTTCAGGAGCTGCCCTTTGGCTATGGTAGAATGAAGCCAGATATAGTGACTTACGGATCCCAAGTCAGAGGCTCTGCCATGAGGTGAGAGTTCAGTGAAAATTTGGACAAAATTAGACACAATCGCCAACCGTTTTTGTAAAAATATAATGTTCAATTTTAAGATTGCAGATTAGGTGAAGCTTGAAATGACATCATAAATCTTTTGCCTTCTTTTAATCTGATCTCAAACTGTGACTTGCATGTATAGATGAAGCTCGGCATTTAACATTCAGTGTGGGATATATTTAGGTAATTTCAAAAAATATATTCTTGTTGTTAAAATTGCAGGGGAGGCTGCCGTTCTCTGTCAGGCACCAGTGTAGCATCACCTGTGGTAGCGGGTGCTGTCACCTTACTCTACAGGTAAGTTGAGTCTGTCTAGTTCCTGTATAGCTTTACAAGTTAGTTGCCTCTTTCTAGCTCCTGTATAGCTTTACAGTTAAGTTGCCTCTGTCTAGCTCCCGTATAGCTTTCATACTGGTAGACAGGTAAGCTTTCTCTTTGTCTCTCTTACCAGTAAATAATTCATTTGGTGTAGTTGAGAGTGTCACTGTACAGGTATATTACTCCCTCATGATGATGGAATCACCTGTAATATTTATGGGTTGATCCTTACAAGTGATTGAAGTCGGTGTCATCTCCAGTCTTTAAGATGGCTGTTGTGCATTTGGATACTTGATTATTCCTATACTACTTCTGTTGTACATGTCTGGCAAAATGTTGACCAAGTTGACTATTTCCATATAGTTATACTGAAATCTGGAGGGGGGCAAACAGGTGGACACTGACCAGCAGTTAGAAAATAATGTCTGGACTGATAGACTTAATGGCAGACTTAACTGTAAATTCAGTATATGGCTCTTAGAACTGTTGCAGGTCCCTTGGACTTGACTGAACACAGCTTTTTTATTGGGCCTTGAAAATTTAATTGGTCATGAACAATAGAACCAACAGTTTTAACATGTCTATCAAATATGAAATGGCAGTGAAAGCCAGTTGGCCCCCATTGTATATTCTATGTATCACACATGAGCTTTTTCCACAGAAAAGCAGAATTCCGCGTGTTTTACTTCAATTCTGATGGTTCCTGAGATTCATCAATGTGAGGTGTTGGGTCTCATGATAAATGTTCATAGTTTTTTTTTTATTTATTTTTTATTTATTTATTTGACACCTAGGCTGATGTCTGATGTATATATATTTCCAGTGCTGTTCTGAACCGGGCCCATGTTGTGAACCCAGCCAGCATGAAGCAGGCCTTGATGGCCTCGGCAAAACGACTGCCAGGATCAAACATGTTTGAACAGGGCCACGGCAAGTTGGACTTGGTGAAGGCGTATCAGGTGCTGCGGAGTTACAAACCCCAGGCCAGTCTGAGTCCTAGCTACGTTGACCTGACCGAGTGTCCATACATGTGGCCGTACTGTACCCAGCCTATGTACTATGGTGCCATGCCTGTCATTGTGAATGTAAGATATATACATATATGTTTTTATTTATTTATTTATTTATTTATTTATTTATTTATTTATTTATTTATTTATTTTATTTTATTTTATTTTATTTTATTTTTCTTGTCCAGGAAAATTGAATTGTGGGATTATTCTTAAAAATCAGATTGGTAAGTATATAAATTGAGAGGTTGTAAAACATACAAAGGTACAGAGACTGGAATATTTTTCATCAGCACAAATGTTCAAATTTGGCCAAAAATTGCATTGAATTATACAATTTTCAACACAGTCAACCAGTCAACACAGGAAAGTATTATAAGATATGTGCAAAATTTTAACCAATATTTTTTTATGTGGTTTAAAGGTTTCTGTTAACGTGAAAGCTGGTTAAATGATTATATTTACTCTTTATGTTGCAGGTTACAATTCTTAATGGGATGGGAGTCTCCGGTAAAATTCTTGAAAAGGTGAGCAAAACAATTTTGTTTGTAGGATATTTGTTATTTTAACCAAATAGTTTATTTAATAAAATTAGCCTCTGAGTCATCAATATTTGGTGGCAAATCATGATCGACTTTCAGAATTTTGAAAATTTGCAGACCTAACATTTGACTAGGTTCTTTTTGAAAGTAATGATAATTGTGATCCCAGATTAAGTGTTGATTGAGCTTTGTTGTACATTCCAGCCACTATGGCAGCCCTACACTCCTCAGTTTGGGAACTACATAGAAGTAGCCTTCTCCTACCCCACTGAACTGTGGCCCTGGTCAGGCTATCTAGCTGTGTCCATCTCTGTGTCCAAGGGGGCAGCCAACTGGGACGGCATTGCTCAGGGCCTGGTCACTCTCACTGTGACTTCACCACCAGAGGTCAGTATATGCTGCCTGGCGCAAATCATAGCTTGTTTTGGTTTTTTATTTAAAATGTATTTTCAGTATTACAAAGATTACAAAGGTGTTTCCTCATTTTGATTATTTATCTACTTTTTGAATGGAATAGAATTGCATGGATATTGTGCAGAATGTTTGGAAACCAGAGGATTGTAAATTAGGAAAGGTTATGAAAGAAGAGGACTTTTGTATTAACTAGTATTTCTAGTTGTCATCCCTTTTGATAAGGCCATTTGTGATGCATAGTATTGGGGAGCAATGGATTAATCTGCTCGTAGTAAAGAATGTGAGACTAGGATTCTCCCAATTCCAATATTAGATTATTTTCTCTTTGTAAAATGCTGTTGTTCTAGTACAAGTCTGCCACTCAGTCAATACAGTGTTCTCATACATTAGTGTAGTCTTGCATAAGATGAGAAAAAAATTGTATTTCAGGACGGAGAGAAGAGTGCAAGAACATCAACAATAAAGCTACCCATCAAGGCCAAGATCATTCCTACTCCACCTAGGAGGTGAGACTTGTAGCTAGGTTTTCTGAATTTATACTGTACAGCCACTGATTTATATACTAAAGTAATGTTATGGATCAGTCCTCAGTGTATAACATTTGGACTGGCTTTCATTTCAACAAGTAATGCACAAGTTGCTATTCCATGTTATAAAAGGAACTGGGGCAGTGTATTCTGACTTGGCTAACCAGATGTATTATGACTGAAAACATTCATCAATTAAGTTGTTATATAATTTTAACTAGCTACCTGTCCCAAGTCCAAAATAATCTGTAAAAAGACATGGGTTGTTCGTATTGTATTTGATGATGGTTGTTCCAGCAAACGAGTTCTGTGGGACCAGTACCACAACCTGCGCTATCCACCAGGCTATTTTCCACGCGATAACCTGCGCATGAAGAACGATCCACTGGATTGGTAAGTCCACGTGCTGTTTCTGGTTAAGCTACATGGAGAAGTTACTGCACAGACTCGCACACGTGCACCTATGTATGCACATGCGCGCATGCGCACTCACACACACACACAGCTTTTCAATCCATCTGCAGAGAGGAAAGGCACCATGTTGGGGGTATCTAAGTGGAGTACCACATAACTTTAAGAGCATCATTAGGAAATTATTGTCCAGTCTTAAAATTAAAGATATCATTTAGACATTCATCAATAAAGATATGGTGTCATATGCAGAATGTCTGACTCCTTGCTGTTTGTTTCAGGAATGGGGATCACATCCACACCAACTTCAGGGACATGTATACACACCTGAGGAACAGTGGGTACTATGTGGAGGTGCTGGGTTCTCCTTTCACTTGCTTTGATGCCTCACAGTATGGTAAGTAGACGGTAGAATACAGGGTAACTGCCTTTATCTTACACAGTGGTACTGCAGAAATGATATGGTCATAGGGATGAGATTTTCCGACCATCAGCAGATTTCCATCTTTTGGGGAGCCAAAAAAAGTCTTTCCTGATAAAATTGTTAGGAAATGGCATTTCATATTTTAGCCTAGTAGTGAAATTATAAGTGAAACCTTAGTGATAGTGACTGGTAGTCTGCCAGAGGATTTAAATTGCTGCTGACTTTTATCTGCACCCCATGTATTCAATTATGAAATCACCCCAGCTCATCACAGTGTCTCAATTAAGGAAAGCTATAACTAGAAAAACAGAGTGTCCTAGCACCACAGAAATGGTAACTGCCTTGAGGGTCTCTTGGTTGAATGGATTTAACTTTGAAAGTCACAGATACTTTGTTGTCAGCTGACCAACACAACTGCCATTCAATCTCCCCC